AACCCCCCGTGTAGCAGGTCGGGGGAGGCTTACGGTGCGCCGAGCTGTTGCGCTTGTTGCGGGACTGAAGGCGTGGTGGGGCTCTCCGAGGTCGCACCCGAGGAGGCCCAACTCGCCCCCGCCGAGTACCCGCGGGAGGGGGGGGGAGCGGAACCAAGCAGCTCGGCCGTAGACGTTGTAGCAGCAGGGGTTCGAAGATCCAGCAACAGAGACAGCAGCAGCTTGAGTGGGTCGAAAAGATGGTGGTTTACTCCCCTTTTGGCCATTGTGGAGGGTCAAGTTGTTTTGTCGCCCTTGTGCGATGTACTTGGAACGGAGACGAGGGTGGCGTATGCGCTTGCTTGAATTTTGAAGCTATCACGCCAGTGCCACGCCATGGATCGCAGGCTTTTTTGTTTTTGCATCTGGGCGCCGAGGGCGTGGGCGGTGGGGACCGGGTTTGCGCCGGTGCAATCGGGAAATGTTCCGAAAGCAGAGTCGGCCCGCTCGAGCACCCGGAGCTCGGGCTCGTTGCCACGCGGAGAAATCGCCCGGAATGGCAAGAAAGCTCAGAGTCCTACTTAGCATATGTTCTGAACTACCTCGGTACATTGCACGGAGTCCGATCCCCGATGGACATCCTGCTGTGTGTGTAGTCATCTCTGCATCTCTGCCGCAACTTTCGTCGAGGATCACCGACACTGGTGTTGTGGAGTTGTGGAGCTAGATAATCCCGTGCATGCCTACCAACAACAGTCATAGCCAACTTAGGCCTTGAGCAACACTGCTGATCGATGCACGCGGCAGCCGCCAAAAGGGATGCGTGTCGTCCCCTCGTCGCCTCCCGTAGCCTGACCGTCCCGCCCGTCTCATCCGCATCGCCGCACCCCTCCCCCACCCCTCCCCCCCCCACGCTCATGGGACGCACACATAGCGAAGTTGATTTGGAAGGGTAAAGCTCAGATAGGCAAGATGGACGAGATCCTTACGGACCCACACCTAGACACTAGGATTAAGAGGTGTATTCTCTTGAATGTGATTGTACCTAAGCTAGAGTATGCAGGAGAGATATGGGAAGGTAACGAAAAGGCCGTCAAGCAGCTGGAAACGGTGCAGATGGCAGCGGCCAAGAAAATACTAGGATGTTCAAGTACAACGAGCAACACTGTATTGAGAGCAGAATTGGGAATGTACTCTCTTAAAACAAAGAGAGACATGCAGAAGTTGAATTGGCAGTACAAGGTAAGTAGAATGTCGGACGATAGACTACCAGCCACGGTTGACAAGGCAGCTTGGGGAAAAGCGACTCCAGGGAAGAAGGGAATCAGATGGGACAAGGTGGTAGAGAATGTTTGGAAGGAGATAGGAGACGAGGAGGAGACGTTGGACACGGAAGGGTTCGGGGGGTTCAAGACGAAAGTCAAGGAGATGCTAGAAAGTAGGGAGGAGGCAACCCTTCGGAAGAAGGTACGAAGCGAAGACCACTTGGAGATATACGGGAAGTTGAAAGAAGGGATAGGGATGAAGACGTACTTGGACGGACCCATGGACTACGCGAAAAAGCTGAAATTGCAATTTCGAGTAATAGGCGATGTGGACTTGCCAGAACGGAGGAAGAGGTACACCAGCCGTAGGAGAGAGGAAGAGGAGGATAGACACACATGTCCATGTGGCAAATGGAGGAGAGTAGACCCCACATAGTTGGGGAGTGTGAGTTGTACAGGAAGGAAAGAGAGGATCTCGAGGAGGAAATGAGACAGAGAGGGTGTGACATGGACAACTTTGGTAAATTAGACAACAGCGAAAAAACGATCGCTATAATTGGGGATAGATGGTGGGCACAAGAGGCCCTAGAGGACGGGGATAAGATGTGCAAGAAATTTTTATGTAGTTTGTGGCAGAAACGTAAAGAGCTCCCAAATGTTGGTGGTGTCTCTAGTAGGGGTAGGAACGGTGCTCCGTCTCGAAAGGGACGCGTGGTCAATGGTCAAATGACTACGGCAAGCAACAAATGAG